AGCGGGCAAAATTTCACAAAGTTTTGGTCGAATGGGGTTTGGGTACCAGTTTTAATGGCGGAAATTGTATCTGCACGCCATCTTGCAGGCAGTGAGTGTACTATATTAAGAAAAACCGATGATATGTTTTAAAAAATATCTTATTACGAAGTAGTTTCGCACGCTGAAGCCATCTTATGCCAGGTACTGGGATTTCGTGAATCCGTAGGCAGTGAAATTTGCCAGAGTGTTCTGTACTGAGTAATGCATGAGCACGCAGTCATCTGAATATGTCTTACCGATAATTCATGGCCTCCGCGATCTGGTGGCCAAAGGTTGAACTATAAGATGTGGCTGTCTTCGCTACTTGTCTAATTTTTAATGTTGCCAACCCGCCCTCTCGTGGCCGATTCCTGTACTACAATTCGAAGGCCGTGCCATCTGTCGTCAAATCGCAGTTACGGGGGTTGCGGCTGAAAATTCGTCCTGTGCTAGTAGTATTCGTACTAAGATTTGGCCAAGTCAATGCTCTCGCCATATATCGGCAATTTTTTGTATTATCAATTGGCGTGCTAAACTTTTTTTTTCTTTGCTGGAGGTACAGGAATACTAATTTTAACAAAATGATAGTATATATTTTTTCCTCTCGTACATAAAATTTTCTTGCTCTTCCTGCCACCTATCCCCCTAATCTCGTAACTCCCCAATTATTCTTTCATAATTATTGCTGTCTTATGGATCCGGGTGGATTCGAACTGCTGAAGTCTGGTTTGCTGGCCCAGTGTCTTATCCACTAGACCACGAAGCTCTCATACTGTAAATAATTTGGAACTGACTGATTAATCATGCTGCTTCCAAATTTTAGGAAAAATAAAATATTTTTAAGTCCTTTCTACTACCAGGCAACTGGAGGTCTCGAACTATCGTACTCTGGTTTACTGGTACAGTGTCTTAACCACTAGACCATGAGTAGCAGTACGAATTATATTATTCCGGAACTGTATGATAAATTTGACGTCGCCCATATTTGTCTGATGCTTTCCTACTCTTGCCCGTTGCTTGGTTCAGCTTCTGATGATACTGGAGGGTGCATACTCCCTCAAGTGCCAACGCCATTGCATAGAGTATGGCGGGCAATTTGAAATGTAAGTTTCATCTAGTGACTTTTCCAGTGGATTGTGTGGTGCTCCTGTATTTACAATTGTGACAAAGAATTGAGCTCCTTTCACCTAACATTACGAGATTGCATGCCAGAAACAATAAGAGCGGTGAACATCACTGTAAATACAGTGCTACCACAAATGCACTTGAAAAGTCACTAGACTAAACATACATTTCTAATTACCATACTCTCTACTATTGGCACTGGTACTTGCAATGGAGCAACATATTTCCATCTGTACAGGCGTTTCTGGGGATATGAATGCTCCCACTGTACCGATGTATGGGGAAGAACGTGATTTAGGATAAGTTCTATTGTTGAGAGTGCAGGAAACAATGGTGCATAATATAAAACACAAATCACAATACAATGAGCTTCATTTGAAACATTCATCCTTATGGCTAATATTCTAACAAAACAGGTTTCCTTCCACGATGTGCTGCCACGTAGTCTGGTAGCTACATATCTGAGAAACCTGAAGATGCAGGCAGCAGCTTCCTCCAGGGTCCTGGTAACATTGCAGTTTGGTATATACCACACCACATGATGTCACATGCCAGAAGACTGTGATCTCCATTCACTGTTGTGATAACCTCAAATCTTACACATTTCATCCTGCAAAAAAAAANAAAAAAAAAAAAAAAAAAAAAAAAAACAGTAGTAGGAAAATAATTTATAGGGCCCTGAATGTTCTGATCTGTCTCTTGCACGTGTAATATGCATACTCTGCACTTGTGTCAAGAGCAACTGGACTTGCATGACTCACAGAGCATAAACCACTAATCACTTCACCCCTCATATATGTAGGCCCTTGCCCATCCTGTCATGCGGCTTCATACCAATCCACTGTCAGCAGCATTCTGCCACAAACTTGTTAAGGTCACATGCTGAGTGTTATACAGTAAAACTTGGTTATAGCAACATCGGTTTCTGCGACACCTTGTCTATTGCGTCAAATATTCAATGGTACGAACTAATTCCTCATAAAGCAACTGTTTTTATACCTTGCTTAGTACGACATGCACAAATGCATCAACCTCGTATGTAACGTCATTTTCATTCCTGAATTTCTCTGATATGGACATTGAACGTAATTTAGAAAGTGTGTACTGGGCAAGTAACAGGAAACAGATGAAGATAACTGATTACTGTACTCGTATCTAGGTACAGTAAGGCACAACAATTGATGTAATCTACTGTAATTTGGTGAGTAGGCCTACCTTTAATATACAGTATTAGTGCGGTGTGTATTGTCAGTGAAAAGCGCTGTAATATGTCTTTGATATTACACATTTGGGCAATTCCACGTTAATGTTACGTTAGTCTGTACTTAACTACGTATTTCACTAAAAAATGCAACATTTTAACTCGGTTTTTGGTAGATTTTTACGTGACTAACATAAGGCTACTGTGGAAGTGCCCATTTCGGTTACAACGACATTCGTTTATAACGACACTATTTTTAGGTCCCTTTGATGACGTTATAACCAAGTTCTACTGTATATCTTTACTTATTACATTCTTTGACATATACTGTAGCAGTCTGCATATGGGAACAACAGATCCCAAGTGTTTTACGTTTTCCTCACCAGTCTGTGCACATATTATTTCTGCATCACTGCCTCTTGCAACCGGTGGGAGTGAAGGAAGCTACAAGACAGGAAACAGCAAGCACTCGTACAGCAATTCAGTGGGTGTTCAACATTTTGTCATTATGCAAACTGCATCCCCATCAGATGTGACTGTTATTATCTGGCCACAAATTACAATGGAGGACTCATCCACTATAAACACTGCAACCATTGTCGTCTCAAATGTCTACCTTATAAGTTCTTCATTCCATGATAACTGGGCATACTAAAGTGCAACTTTCATGTTACAGCAAAATTTGATAAGCTTGTGCACCCTGTTGGAATGAATGAAACTGTCAAATTTTAGCCCCCTATGCCTTTGAATTGCTTCATAGCCGGAACTCACATTTTGAAAGAAACGTTTTTTGGCAAGACACAGCTTGTAAAAGTTCCTATAACTGTCATCACTGAACGATCTGAAAACTCCTACCAAGAATAATTGCTCAGAGAAGTGTACCTTTATGTCAAGAAGTGTAATTTTGGAGGGGGGGGGGAACCCAAAACAAAACAAGATTTAAGATTCATCATTTTCACCCAATATTGTGCCACATACATACTTTTTATAACTTCCTGAAGAGCTACAAAGATAAAAATCTGACATGTAGGGGGACCCCAAAGATTCTGTAACATCTATTTCCAATATATATGTGGCCCCAAACTGTCCCCTCCCCCCCCCTTCCCTAAATGCATATTCCTCTCTTCCAACCCACAAAGTTCATTTCTTCGAGACTACTGACAAATCCAGCCAATGTTTCTGTTTTCAACACAGTGTTCAGCTGGGCTGAAATGTCAAAGGGATATTCTACCATTAGACTTCCTACACCAATGGAAACTAGACTGTCCTGTGTTCAATCCTTCCCCAGTCAATGAGTTTGGTCTTGATAAAAATGTTCGCAACTCCACCCCCCCCCAACTGACAAAAAGACATCAAAGTCAGCTGGTTACCTCATTACAGCTCTCAGTAGCAATACTCCCTGTGTTGCTAGCCCGAAGTGTTCTCACAGACAGTGATGGAGATCCTCCACTTGACTTCACGCAGTTTCAACATGATCTCCACTGCTTCTAGGTGAACCAGCCTCAGTCTGCAAACAGATGCATTTCACAAGTATACGATGGGGTACCCAAAAGAAACCGAACTAATTTTTTTGTGGGCAGAGCTTTTGTAGTACCGCGTTTTGCGGCTATGAGTGCATAGAGCTAACATTCCTGAGTCGATAAGCCGACTACCGTTGCTTCTGAAGGTAAGGACTAGTTTCGGCAGAGTTTATAGTGACAACTGTTTTGTGTGATTCCCGTTTTTGCAATGGCTGATTTTCGTGAACAGCGTGCGGTGGTGAAATTCTGCTTTTTGCTCGGGAAAAGTGGAACAAAAACTCTTGAAATGTTAAAAATGGTGTACAAGGACGATGCTATGGGGAAAACTCAAGTGTTTGAGTGGTTTTCCCATTTAAATAATGGTGAAATGTCAATTGATGACAAACCTCGTTCTGGTCGTCCTTCCACGGCCCGAACACATGAAAATGTTGAAAAAATTCGTGAAATCAAGGAAGATCGACGACAGACCATTGAAGAAATTGTGGAGCTGTCGGGAGTGACTTGGAGCTCAGTTCAGCGAATTCTGACAGAAGATTTTGGAATGAAAAGGGTGGCTGCGAAATTCGTGCCATGACTGCTGACTGCTGAACAAAAACAAGGTCGCGTGGAAGCATGCTGTGCTTTGAAAGAAGAGTCCCGAAATGATCAAAACTTTTTTTTGTTTCCTCGAATGAAAAGAGACATGAAAGGAAAGCGTTTTGCTGATGTTGCTGAGGTGAAGGAAAAAACGACGGAGGCGCTGTCAAGCATCTCAAAAGATGAATTTAGACAATGTTTTGAAAAATGGAATAAAAGACTAGACAAGTGTATTAGTGTAAGTGGAGAGTACTTTGAAGGGGATTGAAGGTTTGTGCTTAAAATTTGAATAAATAAGTTAAAAAAAAAATAAGTTTGGTATCTTTTGGGTACCCCCTCCTATTTATAAAAACAGCAGAATGTTAAGTCCCTATGTCTTACAGCAGATGTTCTAATCAGGGATACATGTACACTCACTCACAGGATCAGTGAGGCCTCACAAAGTGCAGGTAAGTTACTTCACACACTGTCACACACAACCAGAAGCAGGCAACAGTGCTTCTGATGGCTTCTTGCATGGCTTCAACCCTGATGAAGGCATTACATTCCTGCAAAACATTGGACTTTCTGCAAACTACATGGCATTACAACCCACGAGTCTGTACTCTCTTTACCCTGTATTTATAATGCATGACAACATGTAGCTTGAGACAGAAATGAAGTTTCCATGGAAAAGGGGCAGGTTAAGTTTCACTCTGAGACCAAGGGGCACATCATATGAAAAGCATTCAGAATGGCAACTTACATCAAATCAGCAGCAAGGCTATAATAATTCCAACATTTTTCTGTACGACTGTTAACTTAAAACACAAATCATCGCATACTCAGTCCCATGCAAACTTGAAGACTCCCTTCATAAACTAATAATCAAGTGCTGTGTCCAGTGGTTTACCACACTTTAAAATGCACCACCTACAGGTTTGCTGTCTGCCTGACTTAGATTCCTCCTTCAGTCTCCAACTGCAGATTCTAGTGGGTGAATGTCTTCAGTTTAATCAACCCTTTGCCACAATTTTCATTCAATGCACCCTGACACAATTAGAGCTGAAAATTTAACCCTCTGAAGCCTGAAGTCCACCTAATTATGATATTTAAAAGTTCAGTTCTTATCTCAAAGAAAACACACCATGTCTGCATTACAGAGACCAACTGCCTAATCACTATGGGAATAATATGAAAATTAATCATATGTTTTGCTAAGCTAAAAGGGACAGGGTCCTCTTAATTTTGCCATGTTAAGGATGACAGTTTCAGTATACAGCAGACTGGATGCAGGACCTGTCACTGACATGGCTGCACAATGGTGTAGTGGTAATGCCCGAGATGTATATTTAGGGGTTCCTCTGTTACAATCTTGGCCAGGGCAATGGCTCTCCTCAGTCCCACCAGGCAAACACCATGACAGTACTTGGAACAGGCCATGGTCACTTCCTTCCAAGTCCTTTCCAGCTCACTGCTCACTGGTGATCCTACAAGTCCGAGATCCTGCTGATCCATGCCGTGCCATGGAGACAGTGCACACACTACAGCATACTGGAAGTAATGCCAAGTAACGTCAAAGTCAGCCACAACATTTTGCTCCAAACCATGGGACTTCACTTCTATCAGCTTCTGATGGACTTGGCTAAGATCCTGAAGATGGATAATGCGTTTGTTTGTCCTGCGGTTTCATAAGCTGTACTTCAAACACAGCAGTTGCACTCTGTTATTTTTTGTTTGCATATCTGTGTTTCAACTGCAGTTGTTAGGGTTGAATGGTCACAGCTGTGACAACATTACTTCCACCAGACATCATTAAAATTTAGTCAGGGCCAAACTGTTTCACACCAACAAACGGAAATACCACGGACTACCTACGCGAACATACCACAGAAGCTGCATGACTGTAAAATGTGAGTTGGTGCACAGTAGCTGAATGAATAAGAAACAGACTGTATGAGATTTCAGGTTTTCACAGCAGGGAAGACTAGCACTTTGGTCTTCTGTGGCCTGGCAGGCAGCTCCCAGCATTTCACAAGCAATACACTGCTTCCATCTTCCAGGTGAAAGTAGATGGAGACAGTATGCACCCCCAAAACATGGATTCCCATGCACCACGCTACCAGGTTCACAGTGCACAGGACCACAATCTAAGTCCTGAATTACTAGTACCCTCACTTCTGCAGGTCAAAACCCATAAAAGTTTACAATTAAGTTTATTTCAACAAAACAAATCCATAAAAGTTATAAGGACCCAACAACAGAGCAGATGCTTCCCACCCCTTCATCTGAGGATGGAAGGGACCAAGTTTCCAAAACTCTGTGTGCTTTAATGTTCTTTAGAATACTGCACAATGTATAGTTCCAAACCCAGTAATCCTGACTGTGGTAGACCATCGTCAGAACCCATTACAATCTAAATGTCATGTGTTTCTGCAAGATGGTGTGTGCCAAAACATTCCGGGAAATGTCCTGGTGTGAGAACACAAGATGAAAAGCTATTTATAATCTTGTTAGTTCAGTTCCCATTTCTTTTGGAAGATATGTATGGTTTCAGCTGTAAATTCTTAAGTTTCTCCTAGCGCCAATCACCCAAAAACAGCTGGCGATTGCTGATGTAAACTAAATACTGTAACCGTTCATTCTGATTGGAGGACTGTTGTGTGTTAATTAAATCAGTATTAAGTTAAGATTACAAAATTACAAACAAAGAGATCTGGCAGATAGCCAGCTCTTACACGCGGAAGGAACATAGTTCAAGTTTTGCTATGTGGACAGGAAGTAACATCTGGTACTTTCCTGAAATTCTGGCAGTTTCAGCAAAGTCGGAAAGTCTTTGAGAATTTGACAGCTGACAGCTTGGGACAGCGATAACTTAGAAGTGGGACGGCCGGAGCCTCATACCCTGATCGTAATGCATCAAGGGGCTGTCAACCTTAGCGTCAGGTCAGCATCTGCCAGAATCACATAGCAAAGCAACATGATTGGGAATTCAAAATTTAGGGAACCTCCTAGTTTGAAAACTTAACCAATGGCAGAAGTGGAGGAGTGGATTTCTCTTGGAGTCTGGGGTTCGTGGACCTCAGGATTCAGAGAGAGAAGGCATTCCACCTTGAGGAGTCTTCATACAACTTTCGGCAAAGTCAGACACAAAATTTACAACTACGGCCCTTTTGAAAAGTACTATAAGTAAAGTTCAAATTAAGTGTCCTAATAAATTCACTTGTATTCAGTGAGCGGGAGGGAATCATATGATTACTAAGTGCAACGGTCTAAAGAGGTGTGTGTGTGATTGTAGAGAAAGGTTCTTCCTGCCCTGCCCGAGCCAGACCCGTAAGACCCGGGATATGAGCTCAGCTCTACAAATTACCGAACAGAACCCAGATACTCCTGTCTTTACCTGCTCTTGCGTACCAGCTCCAACAATCACAATTCTCCTCCCTTCCCACCTAACTTCTCGACATCCACGAGAAGAGGGAGGACGGTGATAAGTGGAGCACAAACATAGGATAAAGGGAGGACAGTAACAATACCAAAGGAACAGAACATCTGTACATTCATTTTCTAAGCGCAATCTAATTATTGAAATTCTTCCCACTCCCAGCTGCCATTTCTCTCTATCCACCCACTGTCGCCCCCATGCAATGGCCCCATACAATTCTCACATGCAACGGAGGGTTACAAATATCTGGGCAAGAGTATGCACGAGTGAAATATGTTCATCACTTGTTACTTCTTCACTCAACTCAAAAAATTTTTACAAGTCTATCGGCACATATGGCACCCTTTCCCTTATGATCTGCATCCTTTTCTCAGACTGGGCAACACCAAACATTCCCATTTTTGTGTTTCATCCCAATACACAAAAAATACTGCAGCCAAGTAGGCAGCACTCCAGTTTTGTATCTGGGAGGTCCTAGGCTGAAACCTCAGCACAGAGACTGGCTATGCTGAGTTCAGACCTTTCACAGAGTACTTCAGTCTCTCCAAGCTAATGCCATGACAGCACCTGTAACTTCAAAATGTTGCATCACAGAAGACCGTAATGTTGACTATGTTCATAATAATAATACAGTATTTCTATGGGGCAGAGCTGATACATGAGAATCTTACAAAATATGTCATGATTACTTTGTATACCACCAAAACTTTTTGGGGAATGAGGCTGCATGCGACTAGGAACACATTTTCCTGAAAATTAGTGACATTTTGTACCGAGTAATTCACATTCAAAGATCAACTCTGATGAGTGTGAGACAGGCCTATGTGACACTTCATGGGAACCTACACTCAAATGGTTCTGTGGACTGACCACACACAGGATGGGCTCTCTGCTCTAATTATGGCAAGAGTTGCAGCCATTTTTACAAGCTGTGTCACAGCAAAGAATTCCATCTCCTTTTAATGAAACTGTTTAAACACAAACCTGTGA